TGTCTGACGTCACTAACTGGCATGCTGTTGGAGATTCTTTCATACCGTGCACAGGTGGAATGCAGTAAGAGGACAATGTTATTCTAAGACCAAAGATGGCTGTACATGATGAGGGTGAGCCAAGAAACTGATGGCAATGACGCCCTGTTAATTTTCAGCATTGATGTGGGAGGAATCATCTCTGAGTCATGTCATTATTAGTCACAAAGCACTATAGAAAGGCATTAATTGACAAGGACTGCTACACAGGTGAAATGTTTGTAATGTCATAGATGTGACCAGGATTACATAAATTACAATTAAAGCAGTGTAAATGCTAAAGTAAATCTAAACTAGATCAAAAAAGAGAGGACTTCTTCTAAGTAGTATCTATTCTTCTTCTTCTTCTACTTTGGTAAGTAAACTTTTAAAGCTTTTTAAAGAACAGCTAGGTCTGACGAAGTACCTTGATTGGACAGGAAGCCTTCAATGAGTGCTGAAATAGAGCATAATGTCACTGGGACTTTTGATTATACATGTCATGTCTGCTTTACATGTGTTCTAAACTGTTAATTACATAATGGTCAATCATTAAATAACGCTTCCTTAGATGATGGACAAACATTTGCTGAACCAAAATATTTTTCATGTCATCTCCACGGGAGGAAATCAACAGCGTTTACTGATCCACTGATTTTATTCCCCAACCCACCATTAGGAGTGAGGGGAATCTGCCGCTCACAGACAGACTGGGAGCAACTCAATCAGTGTAAATACAGTTAGATATTTGTTTTATTTAAACAGCTGTCTGTGCAGATGATAACTCACTAAACAAATCACAGCCGTGATTCAGCACACGTTAAGAAAACTGAATATTCAGCCATTGTAGAATATGACTATTAATTGATGCTGCATGACTTGTGTTAAACGAGTGGAGAAACATAACGAATAGATGGCTTTTGGAGAAAGTGAGATGGGTCACTGAATGAAGACATAGAAATTGGTTGAATCAGATTCTAACAAACTACTACTACTACTTTTTTTTAAACCCCTCTCCGTGGTGAGATTGCAAGTCAGGGCCGGCTACTATAGCAGAACCACTATAGCTGGTAATAAAAAAAAGCCCCAAAACACATCATGGTCATTATTCTGAATATTTTGTATATACATTAAAAGAGGTACTCATGAAACAAATTTAAAGGTCTATTAAACAAAAAAAAAAAAAAATGGCTTTCTGTTATTGAAAAGCCTAACAATTAGATGATTTAACCCTTTCACGCATAGTGGTCACTACAATGGACATCTATTTTAAAGCCATTTTCTCGTATATGCATGGGTTTTAAAGTTATAGTTGACCCTTTATGACCCTAGTGTGTCATGACATACATTTTCTGTAAGTGCAACACAAATCTATCAAAACTAAGATGAAGAAATATCTTGCCAACTTCTCTGTAATACCAGACCTTTGCAGGAAAATAACATTTGGTAACATTTAACATCTAAGTAGTAATACAGTTGTTAGAATTTCCACATTTTGATTTTATGTTGGGGAGGAAGCTTTAATTATTCATCTGTCCACTAAACTCATTTGTTTTGAGATTATTTTTGTAGAAAATGTTAGTTGATAAAATATACAGTTCAACAGGGGAGGTGTGTAGGGGGACCAAAGAGTCAAAAGCCATGAGCTGAATGAGGGAAGAAGGGAGGGGGGACAGTAGAGACAAGAAGAAAGACGGAAGGGAGAGGCTGAGGAGTCAGAACCAAGGTTCAACGCTTATGCATTGCATTTAAAAGTATTAGAATATGTTATTTTCATTGCTTTATAATTCTTCGGTTGAAAACTTAAACTAATGCTGTCCACCCAAGTGGACATGTAAAAAAAATCCTTGAAAAATGCATGTTTAAAAAATGAACTTCAAATTCTTTTTTTTTTTAAACCTTAAGATGAATAAAAAAAAACTTGACTGACATATTCATAATTCACACATGAAAGGGTTAATCATCTGCAGTAATTATCGACTTGACAAAGCTCCTGCCACAGGTATGGAAGACTTTAAATTTGATTTTTATTTTTAAAAAAAAAGAATATAAATTTTATTTATAATGTTTTTTATTCATTATTTTATTTTTTGTCATTTTGGTTTGAAATAAAGTAATTAATTAATTCATTCACTATAAAACCCACATCAATGTAATTCCTCATCAAGCAAAGAAACTCCACAGCAAGATACAGAGAGGTGACATTTCACAAAAAAAAAAAAAAACCCAAGATGATAGGAGAAAAATAAATTAAGGCAGATGCTTCCACACAGGTGTGCTGCATGGTGCAATTAGGCAATAAACATCCAATAATTCTCTGTAAATGCAGAGCAGGCCTAGTTGATTCTGATTTTCAATCGAGATGCCAAGAGGAAAAGATCTCAGTGACCCTGAAAGAGGGATCATTGTTGTGGTACAGGTGGCAGGAGCTTCAGTCACATGTATGCTCAACTGGCTTGTATTTCAGGAACAGCACAAAAGATTCATGGGAAATTTTTAACTGGCTTTTCAGGTTGTGTCAATGACCACACCTCACAACAGTTCCAGTATGTGCTCTGCACACGCCTTTTCCCTTTGCTCTGACATCTGTTCAAACAAAACTAAAAGCCACATTTCCAGTTCTATAAGACTGTCCTGAGCTGCTGTGGTGCTTTAAATAAATTCTAATGATAGCATACTAACACGTATGAATGTTTTGCAGGTGTTTGTTCATGGATCAGAGCATTGGACTAATTAAGACTTTGATGTGGTAATGGTTTGGGATGAAAAGTTGCAGGATTTCCTAAAATAATACAATTTATCCTGATGGGTAATAAATGTCTTTATCAAATTCCATGGCAATCCATCACAGTGAAGTTCACCTTTGACCTTTTGGATATAAAATGTCATCACTTCATTACTTTATTCTATTAGACATATGTGTGAAGTTTTGTCATAGTTAGCGTAGGAATTCTTGAGTAATAGACAAAAACATGTTACGTGAGGTCACATTGACTTTGACCTTTTACAAAAAAAATCTAATCACTTACTTTACGTCCAAGTAGACGTTTGTGTCAAATTTAAAGAAATTACCCGTTTATGAGATATCATGTTGAGATATCATGTTCACGAGAATGAGACAAGGTCACACTGACCTTGACCTTTGACAACCAACATCCAATCAGTTCATTGTTGAATCCAAGTGAAACGTGTGCCAAATTTGAAGAAATTCCCTTGAGGTATTCTTAAAATATCACATTCAAAAGAATGAGACAGATGGTGTCACATGGACTTGACCTTTGACCTATGACCATCAAAACCTTATCAGTTCTTCATTGCATTAAAGTGAATGTTTGTGTCAAATTTGAAGAAATTCCCTCAAGGCGTTCTTAGGATATCACATTCACAAGAATGAGACAGTTAACGTCACAGTGACCTTGGCCCTTTGATGTATGACCACCTAAATCTAATCAGTTCATTGTTGAGTGCAAGTGGGCATTTGTGGAAAAAAAAATCCCTCACACTGTTCTTGGGATATCATATTCAAGACAATGAGATGAATGCAAGGTCACAGCGACATTGACCCTTGACCACCAAAATGTAATCAATTAGTCCTCAAGTCCAAGTCAACCATTGTACCAAATTTTAAGAAATTCCCTGAAGGCGTGCTTGAGATATCATGCTCACAAAAATGGGACAGACAAGGTCACAGTGACCTTGATCTTTGACCTATGGCCACCAAAAACTAAGCAGTTCATCACTGAGTCAAAGTGAACATTTTGCCAAATTTGAATAAATTCTCCTGAGGCATTCTTGAGATATCTATTAACAAGGATGGGGCAGATGTACGGATGTACGAATGATTGGACGGACATAAAGATGGACAACCTAAAAAGAATAGTGCCTCCCGCCATGGCTATCACTGTTGCAGACACATAATAATAATTAAAAAAACCCCATAAAGGAACACGCAGAAATTTTTGATTGAGTTTAATAACTTTGAAGTACTTAAACTGTGCACTGTAAAGCTCTATCACCAAAGAAAATAGAAGTATCAGATCTGGATTCTGTATTGGCAGATTCTCGATATTAAATGACTTGGATCAGGATTGGGGATACAAAACACTTGGTCCGGATGTCCCTAATTTAGATATTTCAGTATGGACAAAGTGGTGGACCACCATCAGATTAAATATTTATCTCTCATTTTGACTTTATTTTTTTGACATATTATACATGAATTCAAAACTCAACCTAGGTGAATGTATTTCAAATATATTGGATTTTTTTTTTAAGTCAACAAAGATGAAATGTTGATGAAATTTAGACATGGAGGGATTAAAAACTGAAATTGGTGAGAATAATCATGTGAACAGAGATGATATGAATTTAACTCTTGGGGCTTTACTGGGGCAAAAACATAACAATATTAACATTACCATAAATGGCTGTAAATATTCTGCTGTTATAGGTAATAATACTGACTGATTCTACAGGTCCAAAAGCAGACAAGATGGGTGTGGGACCCATCTTACCAATACTGCTGATAATTATGGGTAAGTAAGTAATTACATTATTAACTAATTGAAAGACAATACTAAAAAAAGTTTAACATATTTCTTTCTGTGATTCATCACATTTTCTACAAATAGGGGCCAATGAAATTGGTGAGGCAATGACAACTGTCAACCACTTATTTACAACACTTGCAGTACCAACAACAACCGCTGAGCCAACCACAACTGGCTTCACTGTAGCTCCCATTGAAGTTGTGCTTCTCAAAGCAACCTTGGAAGAAGAGTTTGTACCAGAACTCAATGATTCAGACAGTGAACAATACAGAGAGCTTGAAGAACAAGTGGTAGAAATGGTAAGTAACACTTAGAGTTACAGGTAACATTTGTTGCTCCCTGGTGTAACTTTGCCCTGCTGTTTGACTTTCTTTGAAAAACACTGTAATATTACTATGATTAATGTTCCTCATTTTTCTTTCCTGCTTACAGTGTGACTTCATCTTCAGTCAAAGCTTTGAGTCTACGTTCATCCGCACTATTGTCTTGGAATTTAGGTAATATTCCACATCTTGAAAGTCTCTTGCTTAGGCTGCATCGTCATGACAACAAAACTAGGTTGACGAACACGGTCAATCGAAATGAAGTCTTCAAAGTGTTGGACCATTTGATCAAACAAAAAGTCAAGAAAACCTGCTGTAATTTTACAACATAAGAATTGACTGAGATGTGCTTTTACCACGCAAGGTCAAACATGGGAAACGTGGAGGTGGAGGTGGAGCTCGAGTTCAACACCACGGTATCACCGACCCCAGAGGCTGATTTGGTTGTAACCACCTTGAAAAGAGCTGTGAATGACTCCAACAACCCCTTCAACCTCACTATTGATCCTAACTCCATTGAAGTCACGGGTAAGTAAACTTTTCATACATGGAGCTAAATTTCCCTCCAGTAAATATTAAATCTGGAAAATGCAGCAAATAATATTTCTCTTTTTCATCAACTGCTTATTAACGATACCCGTAGTACCAACAACTGCTGAGCCGACAACAACCGCTGAGCCAACCACAACTGGCTTCACCGCAGCTCCCACTGAAGTTGTGCTTCTCAAAGCAACCTTGGAAGAAGAGTTTGTACCAGAACTCAATGATCCAGACAGTGAACAATACAGAGAGCTTGAAGAACAAGTGGTAGAAACGGTAAGTAACACTTAGAGTTACAGGTAACATTTGTTGCTCCCTGGTGTAACTTTGCCCTGCTGTTTGACTTTCTTTGAAAAACACTGTAATATTACTATGATTAATGTTCCTCATTTTTCTTTCCTGCTTACAGTGTGACTTCATCTTCAGTCAAAGCTTTGAGTCGACATTCATCCGCACTGTTGTCTTGGAATTTAGGTAATATTCCACATCTTGAAAGTCCCTTGCTTACGCTGCATAGTCATTACTAAAAAACTAGGTTGACGAACACGGTCAATAGAAATAAAGTCTTCAAAGTGTTGGACCATTTGTTCAAACAAAAAGTCAAGAAAACCTGCTGTAACTTTACAACATAAGAATTGACTGAGATGTGCTTTTACCACACAAGGTCAAACATGGGAAACGTGGAGGTGGAGGTGGAGCTTGAGTTCAATACCACGGTATCACCTACCCCAGAGGCTGATTTGGTTGTAACCACCTTGAAAAGAGCTGTGAATGACTCCAACAACCCCTTCAACCTCACTATTGATCCTAACTCCATTGAAGTCACGGGTAAATAAACTTTTCATACATGGAGCTAAATTTCCCTCCAGTAAATATTAAATCTGGAAAATGCAGCAAATAATATTTCTCTTTTTCATCAACTGCTTATTAACGATACCCGTAGTACCAACAACTGCTGAGCCGACAACAACCGCTGAGCCAACCACAACTGGCTTCACCGCAGCTCCCACTGAAGTTGTGCTTCTCAAAGCAACCTTGGAAGAAGAGTTTGTACCAGAACTCAATGATCCAGACAGTGAACAATACAGAGAGCTTGAAGAACAAGTGGTAGAAACGGTAAGTAACACTTAGAGTTACAGGTAACATTTGTTGCTCCCTGGTGTAACTTTGCCCTGCTGTTTGACTTTCTTTGAAAAACACTGTAATATTACTATGCTTAATGTTCCTCCTTTTTCTTTCCTGCTTACAGTGTGACTTCATTTTCCGTCTAAGCTTTGGGCCCACGTTCATCCGCACTGTTGTCTTGGAATTTCGGTAATATTCTAAATCTTGAAAGTCTCTTAGGCTGTATTGTAATTACTACAAAACTACATGGACAGTTACAGTCAGTAGAAATAAAGTTTTTCAAAGTGTTGGACAAAAAGAAAATCTAAAATTTGATCAAACAACACATCTAGAAAACCTGCTGTAATTTCACAAGATAAGATTTAACTGATATGTGCTTTTAACACCCAAGGTCAAACATGGGAAAAGTGGAGGTAGAAGTGGGGCTGGAGTTCAACACCACGGTATCACCGACCCCAGAAGCTGATTTGGTTGTAAACACCTTGAAAAGAGCTGCGAATGACATCAACAACCCCTTCAACCTCACTATTGATCCTAACTCCATTGAAGTCATGGGTAAGTAAACTTTTCATACATGGAGGTAAATTTCCCTCAAGAAAATATTAAAGCTAGAAAATGCAGCAAAAAATATTTCTTTTTTTCATCAACTGCTTATTAACAATACCCCTAGTACCAACAACTGCTGAGCCGACAACAACCGCTGAGCCGACAACAACCGCTGAGCCAACAACAACTGGCTTCACCGTAGCTCCCACTGAAGTTGTGCTTCTCAAAGCAACCTTGGAAGAAGAGTTTGTACCAGAACTCAATGATCCAGACAGTGAACAATACAGAGAGCTTGAAGAACAAGTGGTAGAAACGGTAAGTAACACTTAGAGTTACAGGTAACATTTGTTGCTCCCTGGTGTAACTTTGCCCTGCTGTTTGACTTTCTTTGAAAAACACTGTAATATTACTATGATTAATGTTCCTCATTTTTCTTTCCTGCTTACAGTGTGACTTCATCTTCAGTCAAAGCTTTGAGTCTACGTTCATCCGCACTATTGTCTTGGAATTTAGGTAATATTCCACATCTTGAAAGTCTCTTGCTTAGGCTGCATCGTCATGACAACAAAACTAGGTTGACGAACACGGTCAATCGAAATGAAGTCTTCAAAGTGTTGGACCATTTGATCAAACAAAAAGTCAAGAAAACCTGCTGTAATTTTACAACATAAGAATTGACTGAGATGTGCTTTTACCACGCAAGGTCAAACATGGGAAACGTGGAGGTGGAGGTGGAGCTCGAGTTCAACACCACGGCATCACCGACCCCAGAGGCTGATTTGGTTGTAACCACCTTGAAAAGAGCTGTGAATGACTCCAACAACCCCTTCAACCTCACTATTGATCCTAACTCCATTGAAGTCACGGGTAAGTAAACTTTTCATACATGGAGCTAAATTTCCCTCCAGTAAATATTAAATCTGGAAAATGCAGCAAATAATATTTCTCTTTTTCATCAACTGCTTATTAACGATACCCGTAGTACCAACAACTGCTGAGCCGACAACAACCGCTGAGCCAACCACAACTGGCTTCACCGCAGCTCCCACTGAAGTTGTGCTTCTCAAAGCAACCTTGGAAGAAGAGTTTGTACCAGAACTCAATGATCCAGACAGTGAACAATACAGAGAGCTTGAAGAACAAGTGGTAGAAACGGTAAGTAACACTTAGAGTTACAGGTAACATTTGTTGCTCCCTGGTGTAACTTTGCCCTGCTGTTTGACTTTCTTTGAAAAACACTGTAATATTACTATGATTAATGTTCCTCATTTTTCTTTCCTGCTTACAGTGTGACTTCATCTTCAGTCAAAGCTTTGAGTCTACGTTCATCCGCACTATTGTCTTGGAATTTAGGTAATATTCCACATCTTGAAAGTCTCTTGCTTAGGCTGCATCGTCATGACAACAAAACTAGGTTGACGAACACGGTCAATCGAAATGAAGTCTTCAAAGTGTTGGACCATTTGATCAAACAAAAAGTCAAGAAAACCTGCTGTAATTTTACAACATAAGAATTGACTGAGATGTGCTTTTACCACGCAAGGTCAAACATGGGAAACGTGGAGGTGGAGGTGGAGCTCGAGTTCAACACCACGGCATCACCGACCCCAGAGGCTGATTTGGTTGTAACCACCTTGAAAAGAGCTGTGAATGACTCCAACAACCCCTTCAACCTCACTATTGATCCTAACTCCATTGAAGTCACGGGTAAGTAAACTTTTCATACATGGAGCTAAATTTCCCTCCAGTAAATATTAAATCTGGAAAATGCAGCAAATAATATTTCTCTTTTTCATCAACTGCTTATTAACGATACCCGTAGTACCAACAACTGCTGAGCCGACAACAACCGCTGAGCCAACCACAACTGGCTTCACCGCAGCTCCCACTGAAGTTGTGCTTCTCAAAGCAACCTTGGAAGAAGAGTTTGTACCAGAACTCAATGATCCAGACAGTGAACAATACAGAGAGCTTGAAGAACAAGTGGTAGAAACGGTAAGTAACACTTAGAGTTACAGGTAACATTTGTTGCTCCCTGGTGTAACTTTGCCCTGCTGTTTGACTTTCTTTGAAAAACACTGTAATATTACTATGATTAATGTTCCTCATTTTTCTTTCCTGCTTACAGTGTGACTTCATCTTCAGTCAAAGCTTTGAGTCTACGTTCATCCGCACTATTGTCTTGGAATTTAGGTAATATTCCACATCTTGAAAGTCTCTTGCTTAGGCTGCATCGTCATGACAACAAAACTAGGTTGACGAACACGGTCAATCGAAATGAAGTCTTCAAAGTGTTGGACCATTTGATCAAACAAAAAGTCAAGAAAACCTGCTGTAATTTTACAACATAAGAATTGACTGAGATGTGCTTTTACCACGCAAGGTCAAACATGGGAAACGTGGAGGTGGAGGTGGAGCTCGAGTTCAACACCACGGCATCACCGACCCCAGAGGCTGATTTGGTTGTAACCACCTTGAAAAGAGCTGTGAATGACTCCAACAACCCCTTCAACCTCACTATTGATCCTAACTCCATTGAAGTCACGGGTAAGTAAACTTTTCATACATGGAGCTAAATTTCCCTCCAGTAAATATTAAATCTGGAAAATGCAGCAAATAATATTTCTCTTTTTCATCAACTGCTTATTAACGATACCCGTAGTACCAACAACTGCTGAGCCGACAACAACCGCTGAGCCAACCACAACTGGCTTCACCGCAGCTCCCACTGAAGTTGTGCTTCTCAAAGCAACCTTGGAAGAAGAGTTTGTACCAGAACTCAATGATCCAGACAGTGAACAATACAGAGAGCTTGAAGAACAAGTGGTAGAAACGGTAAGTAACACTTAGAGTTACAGGTAACATTTGTTGCTCCCTGGTGTAACTTTGCCCTGCTGTTTGACTTTCTTTGAAAAACACTGTAATATTACTATGATTAATGTTCCTCATTTTTCTTTCCTGCTTACAGTGTGACTTCATCTTCAGTCAAAGCTTTGAGTCTACGTTCATCCGCACTATTGTCTTGGAATTTAGGTAATATTCCACATCTTGAAAGTCTCTTGCTTAGGCTGCATCGTCATGACAACAAAACTAGGTTGACGAACACGGTCAATCGAAATGAAGTCTTCAAAGTGTTGGACCATTTGATCAAACAAAAAGTCAAGAAAACCTGCTGTAATTTTACAACATAAGAATTGACTGAGATGTGCTTTTACCACGCAAGGTCAAACATGGGAAACGTGGAGGTGGAGGTGGAGCTCGAGTTCAACACCACGGCATCACCGACCCCAGAGGCTGATTTGGTTGTAACCACCTTGAAAAGAGCTGTGAATGACTCCAACAACCCCTTCAACCTCACTATTGATCCTAACTCCATTGAAGTCACGGGTAAATAAACTTTTCATACATGGAGCTAAATTTCCCTCCAGTAAATATTAAATCTTGAAAATGCAGCAAATAATATTTCTCTTTTTCATCAACTGCTTATTAACAATACCCGTAGTACCAACAACCGCTGAGCCGACAACAACCGCTGAGCCAACAACGACTGCTGAGCCAACAAGTACTGATGGATTAATCACAGCTGGTGTGTCAATTTCAACTGTTGGGCCAACACATACTGGTGCATCAACTACAACTGGTGGGTCAGCTTCAACAGCTGGGTCAACACATACTGATGGACCAACTACAACTGGTGGGTCAACTTCAGTGGCTGGGTCAACACATACTGATGGGTCAACTACAATTGGTGGGTCAACTGCAACAGCTGGGTCACCTGCTACAACTGCTGCTGCTACAACCTCAACTACAGCAACTGCTGCATCTTCATTTACAACTGCTATGACTGCTATGGCACCCACAACTGTTGCAGCTACAACTGTTGCTGCTATAACTGCTGCTGCTACAACTTCAACTACAGCAACTACTGCATCTTCATTAACTTCTCCCTTAACAGGAGGGTCAGCTACAGGGTCAACTGGTCCTTCAGTTACAACTAACGGTGTAATAGTTACCACAGTTGCCCAGTCAATTGTTGTTCTAGCAGCAAACTTGGAAGAACCTTTTGTGGAAGAACTAAATAATCCAAACAGTGTACAATACAGAACACTTGAAACACAAGTTGTAACAGCAGTGAGTACTGTCTCTTACTTATACATAATTTTAATGATATTTTGATATTTTATCTTAATTTGCTATATGTACATTTGGGGACATTTCCAGTTAATTGTTTTTTTCTCAATTTTATTTCCCTTTCACAGTGTGACATCATTTACAGGGCAAGATTTGGTTTGCGTTTCATCCGCACCATTCTCCTAAGATTTAGGTAATATTTCAAGCCTGGAAAGCATTCTACACAATACACTTTCACTCAGAATTTAAGAGTACATTGTAGTGTCTGGTCTTCAATAACAGAATAGTGTGGATAACAAAAATGTATGTAAAAATATCTGGAAATATCACGTGATTAGGTTGATTAAGATTAAGTTGTGTGTGTGTATGTGTGTGTGATTTCTAAATGCAGTCGTGTTGTAGCAAGGACACGAACTGAGAAGACTAGAGCAGAGGTGGGACTGGAGTTCAACCAAACAGAGGAAATCCCACAGGATGATGCTGTTGTAGACACCTTAGTACAAGCTGTGAATAACCCCAACAACACCTTCAACCTCAGTGTTGATCCCAAGAGTGTTGAAGTTTTAGGTAAGTAAACACTTGTTCATATGTTGATTTAGCCATCGATAAAACTGTCACCAAGTCATCTTTGTGTGTGTGTGTGTGTGTGTGTGTGTTCACAGTAATCACCACAAAATATCCGACATTCTTCAAGATCTCATGTAAAAACAATAGGTCCAATTAGCAATGGATTATTTCTTGAGTCCTCTTTGTAAAATAATTGGGTGGATAAAGAGTATACCCTGTCAATATTGTTTCTACAAAGTTGACTGTGATGTATTTCAATTAGATTAATGTGTGATTTTTTTTAGACCTAAAGAGTGTTGATATATATCTATATCCTTGAAAGGTCTTTTGGCTACCATCAGTTTTTTTTCCTTGATGCTGCCCAGCCTTACCAAATGTGAAAACCAGGTTGAATTGATTGTGGTGTAACATACCTATCTGCCAAACTAAATAAGTAGGCTGATGTTCATGGGTAATTTTTAAACTCTCAAGCATTCTTATTGTTTTTACAGCAACTCCAAGTTCAACAACAAGTTCACCAACTACAGCCCAAAATCCAACTGCTACAGCCACAACTGCTCCAGCTACAACTGCTGCAGCCACAACTACTGCAGCTACAACTGCTGCAGCCACAACTGCTGCAGCCACAACCACAAATACAGCAACTACCGCATCTCAATTTACAACTGCTACAACTGCTGCAACGACGACTTCTGTAACAGCAGTTGCTACTACTACTACTGAACATTTAATAAAACGGAGGCTTACTTTCAGATCTGCTGGAGAGACATTTACAAATGACTTGCTGAATATATCTTCTTCAGCATTCATAAACCGAGCTGCTATGACAAAGTCAGAGGTAAATCTCATCCTTTCTTTGACATGTAGAGTGAGGTTATTACCAACAACACAATGATTTCAAAATACAGGTTTTTCCATCCAATATCACAAGATCTATAGTTACATATTGTAGAATAAGCCCTTTATCTCTCATTTAAGCCTTTTCAATTGTAGGAACTTTATGACCCATAACCGTAGGTAGGTGCTGGGTTCTTGTTCTCCACTGTGTATACAAACCAAAGGCAACATCATATGATTAGACTGAGACCAACCTTGTCATCAGGTTGCTGCCCAGAACAGGACACACATCTGCAGGTCCCACACTCAAAACATCCCACAGTTCATTTGCTGTCTAAATAGGAAGATGAGGAAGCAAAGGAACCATTTGTCCATGTAGATTATGAAGGACACACAGTAGATCGGAAATGTGTTAGTCATAACAGAAATTGGACAAAAGTGTACTGAAGACATCATAAAGAAAACAATGCTATTAAATTGTAAAAAACAAGTTGTATAAAAAGCACTGCTCAAACAAGGAAAAGCACACAATTACAATATTTGCTGATCCTGTGAGTTAATCTATCTCCTTTAACTTTAGTTTATATTGGAGTTATGCTCTGTAGCGTGTGAAATAGAGTATGGTGAATGTGCTAGGAAAGGTAGTATCAGCACTGCTTCTACCTGGAGCTTGCATGTACGGAGCCTGGGTTTGGTTGAAGGTTGCAGTGTTGTTTGGGCTGAGAAAGACATGCGTAAGTAAGGTAAAGGAGGTTATTTGGTCGGTGCGGGGAGCAGTGAGACCTGGCCTTAGGGGATATAGCTTATCATAGGGCTTAGGAGGTTATTCACTGAGTGCTGATCCTTTCTCCAGAGCACAAACTTCTTGTGTTTATTTGAATTAGCCACAGATAAATGTACTTACAGTTTGTTTGCTTGTATTTTTGCAGCTTGAACCTCTCTACAAAAAAGCATTCCCTTCATTCAGATTCTTGACAGTAATTGCATTCAGGTAATGTACCTATGTTCTGTTGAAAGAATCTAAAGAAATTGTTTTTGGAAATACATGGAAATCATTTACAATAGTTATAAAAATGATATATTTTTTAAATTATATAAAAATATGACATTGTGTTAAATTCCTTATGCAGTAGGGGATCAATCATCAGCACCGTGGACCTTGAATTTGCATCCACAAATGTTCCTAATGGCACTGAGATTGCAGATGTTTTGGTTGGTGCAGCTTCAAACATCACAGCCTTCAACATTGACACCACCTCCATTTCTGTGGATGGCACACGTAAGCAATATTGATTGCTACCTCACCAAACATTTTAATTACTTTGCAGAAATATTTGTTGTGTCTTATTTGCCTTTCTCCTCATTTACAGAAGTTTCAAGTGGAGTAAGCCACAAGATCAGTCTCATCACTGCATCCTTCTTTGTGCTGCTGTCATGGTTACTGTCCAGCCAGCAATAGTGTCTGTGCTAACGTCCATGTGAAATGCCAGTAGACAGTGACTGCTATCACTGTTGTGAAAAATTAATTTTGTCATAAAATAATTACACTTGTGGGGAGTTGAATTGCCATATGTTTGGGGACGAACTACCTGATATTACATCTAAACTTTTGACTGGTGAACCAGAATGGTTGATTACAAAGAAACATGTGTTTAACCTAATCTGATCAATGGCATGGAAATTAGACCATTTGACCAGTTATATTAATGAGTCTATACATAATATTTTCAGTATGTCTAAATGTGTATTTGTGAGTAACAGGTACTATAATTATATTTAGAACCAATATCTTTTAAAATCTCACTTTAGTAAAAATTGCAGTTGTTTGACAAAAAAAAAAAAAATCAAAACATACTGTCAGGTTCTTAAATTACAGCCTCAATCCAAAATTGCCTGCATGAAATTTATGCATATCACTGAGGAATCTGACTTAAACATGGAGTCTTTTAGAGCTGCTCGGCTAGTAAAGTTGACAGTGAAAAAAAATCTTAATTTCACTGAGGTAAAACCTACAATAGTGTGCTCTACCTACTCAGATTTATGTTGATGGTTGGGGCTAATCATTACCACACTATCAGAATAATTGATTGTTTAACAATCCCTTTATTCTACTTATTTATGTATATTTCTGTTATCTGACATTTGTGTATTCTTAGACCTTTACTTTCATAGCCTACACTTTTCGTTGTTTTCTTCCTAATGATCAAAATGCAAACATGACAAAGAAATCAAAGAAATCACAATCTGTCCATGCTATAACATTTATATCATAATCTATGTTGTTATCTGGGTGATAAAATGCAACTTATTGAATGATATGGATGAAAATTGTTTCCATTAAAGGCATTGAAGATATGCACAAAGTCTCATCATTTCCTAAAATTGAATGTTACACTAGCATCATAAAGTAACTATTCTCAGCCACAATCAATAGCTGATCTAATGAAGAAACATTCCAGCTTCCAAAATGTAAATATTTGTTGTTTTTTTCTGTTTCCTATAATACTTAACTGAATATCATTGGGATTAGGACTGTTGTTGACTTGTTGAACAAAAAAAGTGATTTGATGATGTCAATTTGGGCTCTGGGAACTTGTGATGGACATGTTCAACTGTTAACTGATATTTTACAGATTTAAATATGATTCATTAATCAACAAAAAGGTCAGCTTCATCAATAATAATTTATAATAACTGGTTGATGCAGCCCCATTGAACAATATTGTGAATGTGTAGCAAATTAACCATCTTTATGAATCTCAAAGAAAAGTAAACACTGTGTCAATGAGCCACTCTTAGACCTTACCTGAGACCCCTTGACTTCAAATACTTTCCCTCAAATCTTCTGTCCCAGTAAAGAATGTGATGTTTCCTGCACATAGTACGAGATAATAGATAATAGGATACATTGGTGTATGATGAAGACACATTAACCCCCTAATGAACACTTAAATTGTACTATAATAGCTGTCACTGTAAATAATAGTAAAAATACAGACTAAACTACTGAAACATCCATAATAAATTCCTCAGTGAACTTGTTGCACTGTATTGGAGCTCATCTGAGTCTCAAGGGCTCCACCTGCCTGTGTTCGCGTAAATGGCTGCTGCTAACGATAAAATATATTACAGTATTTTGTTTGGTTCCTCTTAAAATGAATAAATAAATAAATAACACTATAACACTAACTACAGAGATGGTTTACCCAAAAATTTCAGCAATGAACACAAACCAGCTAGTGCATTAAAGTTACACCTGGAATTTAAATGTAAAACCTAATGAGTGATAGGGGAGACCGGGGTAAGATGATCCACTTTTCATATTCAGGATCACTACATCAAGGCTATTATAGTTTTGTTGCTAACTAATATATGTGCATATATTTCAGGATGTTGTGCATCCCTACAAACAAACAGAATGAGTGTAAACATAACTGTTTTGATAATATAGCATGTCCAAAAATAGTGGTCTTGTGGCACAACTTACCCCGTGTCTGGGGTAAGTTGAGCATAGGAGTGGGGTAAGTTGACCCATCTCCCTCCTTTCCTCCCCCCGCCTTCCCTCCTACCCCCCTTCCCCCCACCTTACCTTCTCTCCTCCCTCCCTCCCTCCCTGGGTTAAGATATTCCAGTTATACATGTCTGTACTGAATTAAATAAGATGCTTCTTCAAATCTACGTGTATTTTTATTTATAATACACAATTAAACATATTCAAATTAAAATCTTTTTTTAAATTACTATTGCATATAACAACTTCAAAACATTTTAACATAGGTCTGAGAATGCCTTAAAGTGCGCTTAGCAAGAGAACCTTAAAAGCTGTGTTTTTGGAAAGAAAACAGTGAACTTAATCCGTTGACGTAAATCCTAGTTTGTTGTCCTTGCTAACAGGAGGGCCAATTGTGGAAATGAAGGTATTATAATAATTTGAACTTGTTGATTAACACATTTGAGCATTCGGAACTGAAACTCTCATTCTCTTATCATCCTTCCTCTATATGTCCTCCTTCATCCTCTCTAAACTCCTCCCTCCATCTCTAAACTCCTCCCTCCATCTTACTCTCCTTCCATCTATATCCCACCTGCCCCTTTACTCAGTATCCCACCTGTCCAGGTTGCAGGGGAATACAAACTGCTGGGACTCTGAGGTTTGGGGAGTTTTGCAATTACATCGCTTCTTGGGAAGAATCCCTCATCTTTCTCCTTGAAAGTAAAACTTGGTTTACCATATCCAGCTTTGCCTTCACAGACTCCATAAAATGATGCCTTCCTCCTAAATATTTGGTCACATGCTCAATTTTATTTACGGTTTCCTAGCAACATGGGGTGGCTCAACTTACCCTTTGGCTCAACTTACCCCAGTCTCCCCTATTAGTTATATCCAGCGATGACATAATTGTAATTCGGTGAAGCTTGAACTGTTTCAGCAATGAATACGGTAAGGTGGGGAAAGACACCCCCCTCAAGAATAAAGTCAATTTGGAGAATGAGATAGTAGTGTGCTTGAGGACTGTTTTTATCATATGATACTCAAAAAAAAATGCAGGTAAAGAAAACGGTCGGCACATGGGGTAAGATGGGGTAAGATGTCCTCACCCCCTTAATTCCTCTTCTAACTAATATATGCATCCAATCTACTTTCAACACATGTTCAACACCACTGAATGGCTGCGCTATCGTGAATAGTGACATTTTATCTGAATTGCTTCATTCTTGAGATTTACCCCACCAAAACTGCTTCAAGACCGGTTCTGACCAAAGATTCGCAATGAGACAAAACCGTTTTAGAGGGTTGCAAAGAAAAGTTGCAGTGGTGTGAACTGGCTGTCTGAGCTCGGCCGGCTGATGGTGCCACCTGCAACTCCTCCAGTCAAATCGCGGTGGCAGGTTTTTTTGTAACATAAAGCACATCATCTGTTTCTGAAGCCAGTCGGCTTGTAGTGAAGTCTGTAGCTGGTGCTCTGTCACCACCCACCACCTCTGTTTCCTTCCTCACGGTGTGTCGGTGTCAGATGGTGGGTCGCTGTTACTGCATGCTATATGTGCTTATACCCCCTCACGCACCCACATTCTCATTGACTGTTTAACTGGGGCTGGGTATTTATATTTTGGCAGTTATCTCTGCTCCTGCTCACTCCTGTATGGTGCCGACCGGACCTGCCACCGCATCACCCCAGAGTCGTCTTTTTTTCAGTGGTTCGGGTTGCGCCTCTCCCTCCTCCACTCCAATGGCCACTGGACCTGCTGCTGCTACTTGCAGAAGTTGTGAAGTTGTGTTTTTTTCCTTTCGGACCAACTCGCTTGATGCGTCTGAGCTGTCACAAGACGACGTCACATCCAAGAACTTTATCAAATGTCATCTCCCTAATCAACAGTTAAGAGAAACATTATAGCCTACTATTAGTTTTAAATTGTGGTAGTATTAAATTGAAAATTCATCCACACATAGGCTACATAGGTGCTGGACAAGCACTCATTATTTAGGCATTAAATAAATTATATTTAGTATTAGCCTATATCAGGCTCCTATAGGCCTATATGTGCAGAAGGTTTTTTTTAAATGGCGGTAATGAAACTGATACTGTTGCTATTTTTACATATCCTGGGATACCTTATTATCGTATTATTGCCCAACCCTACTTGCATATGATATCTTTCATATAGACAGGGAGACATCCAAACAGGGTCCAGTTACCTTCTCCTTACGCAACAGCCTCTGAATAAACTGTGCCTCAACATTCACGACTTAATTCACAAAAGAATACCCCATGTGTCTCCTTCCTGCTACACGCTCAGCAAGCAATCAGCCTCAGGCTTAGATGAAGCAAACCTGCGAGCCAGCAGGTTTGCTTCACAGAGTATGTTGCCATAGTAACTGACTGAGGGTTACACTGAACTGGCTTTGTGAAACAGAAAAGTCAGAGTTTCCCTCATCTCAGGTTTAATATACTCAGAGTTTTCACTATTCCTGCCATCTGATATAGGGCCCAGATGGACTGAATTCATAATAAATATGCCAAATAAATACCCAGCCCCAGTTAATCGGTCAATGAGAATGTGTGTGTTAGGGGGTATTAGCACATACAGCATGCATCAACAGGGACCCACCATCTGACACCTACACATTGTGAGGACGGAAACAGAGATGGTTGGCGGGGACAGAGAACCTGCTGCAGCAAGCGAATGCGCTGTCTGTGGTCATTTTGACTTGACCAGCAGCCTTTTGGCTGCAGAAACAGTTGATGTGCTTTATGTTACAAAAAAATCTGCCACCGTGATTTGACCAAAAGGAATTGCAGGTGACACCATCAGCCAGCTTGAGTCGAGCTCAGACAGCCAGTTCACATCACCACAACTTTTCTTTGCAACTCTCTAAAACGGTTTCGTCTCGTCGCGAATCTTCGGTCAGAACTGGTCTTAAAACGATTTTGGTGGGACTCGTCTCTGTTCTTGTTTTATTAGATCTTAGTGCGGCGTTTGACACAATTGACCATCAAATTCTACTGCAGAGACTGGATCACTTAATTGGCCTAAAAGGTTCAGCACTAAGCTGGTTTAAATCTTAT